CCACGCTCGGTGTTAGCCGTGCGGGTTATCCTGAGTTACAACCTCACTGTTGACTGCGCACCTGGCAACCTCAACTACACGAAAAATCCTGACCAGGGGCTTTACAAATTTATCTAAATTTCTCAATGGCTTCAGCAAAAACCAGATGCCTGCAGAAATTCTGGAAATACCTTAGGTAGTGTGGGATAGTCCCCGGAAGGTGTTAAAGTGATAGGAGCCCTTTGGGGAGCCCGGCCAGCGTGGCTCTGTGGTTGAGCGCTGACCTATGAACCGGGAGGCCATGGTTCGATTCCCGGTCAGGGCACACGCCTGGGTTGTGGGCTTGATCCCCAGTAGGGGACGTGCAGGAGGCAGCCGATCGATGATTCTCTCTCATCATTAATGTTTTCATCTCTCTCTCTCCCTCTCCGTTCCACTCTCTGAAATCAATAAAAACATATTAAAAAGAAAAAAAAGAGCCCTTTGGGAAGGACCTTTTTAGCAGGAGGCCAAGCTGCAGGGCACTCACTGAGTCACCTTGTACAATTCTGCCTCAGAGAGGCAGCAAATGCTAGAAGGAAAATCACTGTAGGTCACGGTGACTTCCTTCCCAGGGGCACTCAGAGCAATGACTTTGCAGCCTTGTGACCAAGCCGCCGCCGAGGGAGAGTCAGCTGTGCAAGACGTCTGCTCTGCGAAACGGCCGGGGGGGGGGCACCCACAGAAGTCACTGGAGTCACCCACACTGCTGGAGGGTGAGGGAGACCAAGTCCCAGGCCTGTCGTCCGGCAAACAGCACAGAGACCCAGAAGGAAATAAGCCGTTTGCTTCTGCAGTGACCACACAGGCCTGGTCAGCACCCGCTTACCTGGGGCATGGTCACGGGGAAGGTGTGGGAGGCCACAGGTTTATTTTCAAAATACCAGCAGGGAGCACCCAGAGGTGGGGCATGGTGAAGGAGAAAAATAAGAGATACATAGGGTGTCCCCCCAAAAATGTATACACACTTTGAATAATTATTAATTCCAAAGGGTTAAATCTGAAAAGAAAAACATCAACTGACACAAAAGACACAAAACGGCACCTGAAGCCTCTTTAAAACCTAACCGTTGGAAACCAAGGGTTCTACTTAATGTCCCTTGTGGGTCTTAATGAACCGGGGTAGCAGGTGAAACCGGGGTCTATTTTGGGGGTGATGGCAGCTACCAAGGGAACATTGTTTTGACCACATTAGAGTTTGGTGATTGCTCGCACCTCAAGTTTCTGAGGGGCTCATGGAGCATTTAAAATAGCAAGCATTTAAAATAATTAAGTAAAATATTTACTGAATGGCTTTTACGTGTGCTCTAGATTCACCTCTGAGTAGGAAAACACACGTGCAGAGACATGTCAACCTCCTCAAAGGAAACCTCTTCAAACCAGCAGACGACTCTGGTTCTCCAAGGGAGGCGACGGCCAGTGCTCACGCTCACTTTGAAACGAGGCTCTAAGGTCAACTGTTAATTTAGATGTTTTTCCATTCAGGCTAAATGTTTTACTTCTCATATCACTATCAAAAGAGACACACCCGAAGGCAAGAGATTCCTCTGTATAAATAAGATAATTCCTATGCTGCGGGATACTAACATCAATGTCTTAAGTATACGTTTTAAATACGTCATCAGCTCGTAAACAATTGGGTTGAAAAAGTAGAGAACGTGTTTTTGGCAACGATATAAAAGCCTGAACTATGTCAAAAAGTGTGAGTTGACCGTTAAAATACATAACTTGGAGTAGCTTTTCATTCAATTCACTCATTTCAAATATATTAATATCCTATTATTGCAAAGTTCTGTAGCTTAAGTTACTTGTAAATAATCTCTACCCATGTATAGGTATGTTAAAAACTCAATAGCGAGCATTTAAAATAACGAAGTAAACTATTTACGGAATGGCTTTTACGTGCGCTCTATATTTACAAACTTAGAAAATAGAAGGACTTACCATTAACGGCTTTTTCATAATTTTTCCCCAGGTTTATTAAATTCCGTAGCCTCGGATTGAACTGTTCCATAACATTCTGACAAACAAAACAACACACGAATCAATCAGACAAGCAGACAGAGGCCCCGTGGTCTTCAGTTGTGGTGACCGTGCAGCCTGGGATACCTGTGTGCACACAGTAGAGTCTACACGTCGTGAACCCCGACCTGAAGACAGCGAAGGGCCCGCGTCTCCTTCCCAGTGAACAGGGGCCCGCCCCGGTCAGTTGTCCAGCTGCCCGAGGGCTGCCTTGAACCCACTGCACATGCGGCAAGGAGCAGCCAGGCCGCCTCGACCAAGCAGGCCCGCAGGGGCCGTGCCCCAGGAGCTGGAGGGTTCAACCAGGTCCGCGGTTGCCTTTCTAGTGTTGGGAGCGCAATTATATTTCTGGCTTTCAACGGGACAGAAATTTCCAAGAGATTTTGTTTTTACTACGCCTAATGACCGGGGAGGGGGTGGGGGTGGGGCTGCTGAGAGCTCTAGGGCACTTTCTAAGGGGGTCACTGCACCCCCCCCCCGCCCCTGTCCTGTAATCGGCGTATTTATTAAGTCCTTAGGGAGTAACTCCTGTGCGCTGGGTCCTGCGCCCAGTGGGGGGCGGGGAGACATGGTTCCCCCTCCTGGATTTCATGATGTCATGTCTCTGCAGATGCCACGTTTTTCATAAACTCAGAGACAAACGCTGTGACAGGTATGAGACGGGCAGTCATTTAGACTGTTGGTCGAACGGGGAACTATCCCAAGTCTGAAGCGCAGACAAGAAAGCATCCCTGGGGGACTCTGGCTTGACTCAGACGCACAGAGACTGAATGGACTTGTTCCACCTGCAAACAGTGAGCGTCTCACCGTTAACCGCCCGGGGCAGACGACGCGGTCCCTTCAGCCCCTCCCCCAAAGCGTGTGACACCTGTGGGGGGCCGGGCGAAAAGCAGGCAACAAAGGGGCATCCACTTGACACGGGCTATTCTGGGTATGAAGGTTCTCCATTGTGAGTTAGAGGATGAAACTATTTCTTTAAATTTTTTATTTATTGATTTGAGAAAGAGAGCGGGGGAGACGGATTTGTTGTTCCGCTTTTTATGCATTTGCTGGGCCCTGACTGGAGATCGAACCCACAGCCTTGGTGGTATTGGAACGACACTCCAACCAACTGAGCCGCCCGGCCAGGGCTAGGGGGACGGAACTGTTTTATCCAACAGTGATAAAGGCTTATTTATTAGGAAAAACCACCGCTGCCTGACCTACCCCCGCCCCGCCGGCCTTACTCCCAAGGGCACTGTCCGCTGTGCTGTTCTTGCATTTACTGCGGTCGTTTGGAGTAGTCTTAACGTCTCGATTTTGGGGCCGTAACTAGTCTTAACGTCTCGATTTTGGGGCCGTAACTACGGGCGTTCTGCCACACAGATGAGGCCGTGGCTCTCCACCCCACCCTCTTTCCTTTCCCCAATCCTTCCCACAAGGTTCACCGGTAATCTCCTGGTAAATCAACAGTCAGGGTTTTTTGTTACCTTGTCAATATTGGTCACCACAAAGGCAGACGTGTACGAGGATTACAGTTCCTTTCCTGGTACGGCCTTTTGTTTCCCGTGGGAGTGACAATCGTCTCTCCTCCCCCTCCCCCCACGCTTAAATGTCTATGTGATCGACCTTAAATTGTTCCACGTGCCCCGTCGGATCCAGCAGAAGCCCATCGATATTATTTTCCAAACGCCCAGAGGTGTCAGCTAACCTTCCACTCCGTCGTCTGCCCAGCCCTTCCTCCAGGACGCTCCGCCCTCTGGCCCGGCCTGGCCTGAGCGTCCCTTTCTGGTCCCTGCCTTAGAGCTCTGACCAGTGGATTCCTCAGCTTCCTCTTGTCATCATTTAGTCCCATTTCCTGGGAATCATTCTGTAAGAACGACGTCAGAGCCCGGCCAGGCGTGGCTCAGCGGCTGAGCGTCGACCTGGGATCCAGGCGATTGGGGTTCGATTCCCGGTCAGGGCACATGCCCAGGTTGTGGGCTCGATCAATGACTCTCATCATTGATGTTTCTGTCTCTCCTTCTCCCTCTCCCTTCCTCTCTCTGAAATCAATGAAGATATATTAAAAAAAAAAAAAAGGCCTAAGAACTGATGAGAGGTAAATTTGAGCACCCGTGTGTCTGAAATTCTTTTTTTTAAAACATATCTTTATTGATTTCAGAGAGAGGGGGAGAGAGAGAGAGAAACATCAATGATGAGAGTCATCGATGGGCTGCCTCCTGCATGCCCCCGACTGGGGATCGAGCCCCAACCTGGGCTGTGCCCTGACCGGGAATTGAACCCCGATCGCCTGGATCGCAGGTCGACGATCAACCGCTGAGCCCCGCCCGGCCGGGCTGAAATTATCTTTATCTTGACATCTGATTGATACTTGCTGGATGGAGTATTATAGATCGAAAGTGATTTTCCCTTTAGAATTTTTAGATGCGGCTCCCCTGTCTTCAGCATCCAGGGCTGCTGCAGAGACGTTGGCGATCACGTCTTCTACTTTCTGTTTAACTCTTTTT